AAACAAGCTGACAGGAGCTCTATTCAATGACTGAGCTTCAAGCCTACTTCACACTGCCAAACTTGATCAACATACTACTAAGTGCTATGCAGTCAATATAACAACATCACCCCCATTTTTAGTCAACAGATGCTATTACCCATGAATACAGATACCAAGTTGTTCTTTTTCTAGAATTTAGTGGAAAAGCTATAAATACTTCCTTCAAAGATTTTCTTCCTATCCAATTATTCTAATATGAAAACTGATGCTTTAACATGAGAACAAAACTTATGTGCTCCAGTTAAATGTTCTAATGTTGAAGCAATTCCACAAAAGAACAAAAAATAATTATCACAGCTTTTATACTTTATGCTGTGCACATACAACAGAAATAAATCTCATCAGACAAAAACTGTGGCAGGTGGTATGGTCTCCCACATGTTCCAAAAAAGTAGAGGTCTTAGCACCAACTCTGGAAGGATGATGACATTTTAAGAGGGACACGGAGAGGGATTAAGAGGTTCTGGTATTTTCTTCCTTAGCCTTAGCACTGGGCACAGGGCCCATCTCAATGCTCATCTTCAACCCTGTGGCCTCTGGGTCCCTCTGCAAAGCCCTGCTACCAACACATCCCACTGTTATTTCTAACCCCTCCTAAATTTTCAGAAGATTTCAGACTCCAGCCCCACTCACAAGGTAGGAAGCAAAAATAAGCTCTAAAGTGCTTTTGGTGGCTAAGCCTAAAATGTGAGTCTGTTATTTTACTGTTAAGAAAAAAGCCCAAATTCAAAGTGTCCAAACTTGAGTGAACGATGATGTTCAATACTCAGAAGAATTGTTCCTGTCCCCCAAGGCCTAAACATCCTGTATCCACAGGTCAGACAGAGAACATGCAGCCACAGCCTGCTCACCTCCCACTTTAATCCAAACCTGCTCCGGCAAGGCTTTGTTTCTGCTTCCTCCAGTCTGTTTGGTGGACTCAAGCTCTTGCTGGTAACAGAAAGAAAATGCTCTAGGCAACCCAATATCCTGGTGCTTGGCAGCTTCCAGTATGGAACACGAGTTACTGGAACTCTGGAAAACATGAAGCAATAGGAATTTTATCAATGTGTGGTTTAATCAGCGCTTTTCACAAGTAAAATGCACTGAACAGAATGATGTTCAAACCTTCTGAAGAACCTGCCTTCTGCTTTTTTCTTTTTTGGTCTTTTTGAGACAGGGTCTCCCTGCAGCCCCAGCTGACCTGGAACTCACTATGTAGATCAGCCTGGCCTTGAACTCACAGAGATCCACCTGCCTCTGCCTCCCAAGTGCTGGAATTAAAGGCATTTGTCACCACGCCTGGCTCACTTTTTTTCTTTTTTTAATGTATATATGCGTGCATTGCCTGCATGTAGGTAAGTGCATCTGCGTCGTCCAATGCCAGTGGAGGTCAGAAGAGGCTGTAAGATCTGGAACTGGAGTTATGGACAGTTGTTAACTGCCATGTGGGTGCTGGGATTCGAACCCGGGTCTTCTGTAAGAACAGCCAGTGTTCTTAACTGCTGAGCCATCTCTTCAGCCCCCTGGCTGTTTTTTTAACATTTTAAATTATGTGTATGTACGTGTCTGTGTCATATATGTGCATGTGACTGCAGGTATCCATGGGGGCCACAGAAGTCAGACAGCTCCTCTTGGAGCTGGAGTTATAGGCAATTTGCAAGTTGCCTGACATGGGTGCTGGGAACCAAATGTGGGTCCTCTGCAAGAGCAGTGCATGGTAACTGCTGAGCCATCTCTCCAGCACTTTCACTAAGGTTTGTTTTTTGAGACAGGGTCTCATTATATATCCCTGGCTGTCCTAGAACTTTGTATGTAGACCAAGCTAGCTTCAAACTCAGTGATATGCCTGCTCCAGCCTCCCCAGTGCTGGAATTAAAGGCATGTACTACCATGCCCAGCTGCTCACTAAGTTTTTAATAGCTCCTAACGTAAAATATTTTCAACTTTAAAAAGTAACCAAGCTCCACAAAAAGAAAAAAAAATTCTTGGGACTGACCACATTAAATCGGGAGTTATGCATGTCACACAATGAGTGCACTGTACCTGTGTCTGTGCAAGGCTGGCGTTCCCACCTGTGGCGCAGGCACTTGTAAACAGTGGGTAGGTGAACTGCAAAGCAGCAGTGGCAGCAGTTTTATCTTTCACTAAGGTCGTACATTTGTTTTGTTGCTGGTGAAGAGGAACATTCATTAATTCAGATGGATGTCGAATAAGAGTTACCAAACTGCCAAGACAAAAGAAAACCCAGAAACCTGAGGAATCGGTGGAAGAGAGATTCCCAAAGCACTGCCATCACCCACTGCACCACTAACAGGTCAGCTAGACTCTGGTAGGGGCTCAGCCCTGCTTCTCAAGTGGTCCTGGACATATCTGCATGACCCACTGGCCAGTGGTAGTGATGAACTCCACTCTCCTCCTCCCTGCCGGGAGCACTCCCCTGACACCAATCTCTGCCGTCCTCCAAAATGTGTCCGGGATGGGCAAGACAGGGACAGCCAGAGCCTGGGTGAGTGGAAAACTGTGGAGTTAATGTCCTCAGAGCCACCCATGAGACCTAGGTGGGCCAGGAGCAGCCTCAGGTTGCAGCTTTACCTTACAACGCCAAACCCTGACAGTAAACACTGCCCTTCCCTCCACAGGTCCACAACAGCACGTGCTCTGCATCAGCGCTAGAGGGCAGAACAGCGTGAGCAGCGTCCCACGACATTCAAGGGAAAGGAGGCAAGGGGATGCTCCCCAGAGCCACCACCGGTCTTGTCCCAACTCTTGCTCTCTTTTGGGGTGCAGAGCCAGACAGAAGGTTCACTTAGGGTTATCACCCAGCACTTGCATAGCCTGCACCTTCCAGGTCACCCTCAGACCTGGAGTCTGATCTCTAAGAAGCTCCAAGTCAGAGTTCGCTGGTGGCTGAGACCTCCTGTTGCTTAGTGCCCAGATCTCGCGGGTGGCCACGCTACTTACCCCTTTGATAAAGACTCACTAGTAGACGGCCCGTCCTGGCCCTAGTGTCCACCCAGACCCGGCAGATGGCCTCGTTGACCGCCCCTCCCTCCAGATATCTGCCCGAACCCCGCAGGTGGTCTTGTACACCCACAGGGCCCCAGGCTGACTCCTCGGATACCCACCCAGACCCTGCAGGTCCCCGGGCCGCCCCTCCTCCCCGGCGCCCCCGCCCCGCACGCACTTGTTGAGCGCCACGCCGGACTCGGCCGGCTCCGCACCGCGCGGCGCCGGCGGCTCAGCGGGCATGCTGTTGAAGCGGTCCTCCAGCCGGACCCGCACCGTCGGCTTGGCCCGGGCCTCGGGCACGCCCTCGGGCCCCGC